GCCCCTTTAATTGCATGTGGAACTCTCACAAAAAAGTTTTGGGAAGTAATCTTAGAGGACAGTCAGGCAAGCAGAGAGTGGATCCACACACTTTTTTGACCTCTCCCTCCTTTTTCTCTGATTAATCAATCAACTCTCGTTTCTGTAATCTTCCTGTACTGATATTTTCTTGTAAGTAAACGGATACATTTTTTGGTCCTGTGGACTTATTGATGTGGATATGGACGAGAGCAATAGTTAGACTGTCAGGCTAAGGCTTCATTCAGGGGAAACCTACAGTAAAAGTGATTTATATAACTGGAATAACCCTTTACCCAGTAGAGCTTCATCAAGTGAAAATTAATTAGCCTTTGTTCATCTTGACCTCTAAAGCAGAACATGCAAATTGCACTCCTTACAGCTCTATTCATACTAAGGATTTTTTAACTGATGTGTTGCTGTTTGTTTTACTAAAATAAATAGATATCACAAGTCTTTTCTGTGTTACTTATGTTGAAGTGACGTCTATCTTGCACTAGTAACAGGGTTTCTGAGTTATAGTGGAGGCATCCTCCCCCAGAGGGAAATTTGTGATGAACTGAATAAATAAAGCCATTAAGAAACCTAAATATAGATCAACTTTGCTGCCATATTTAGGCATTCCAAAAAACAAGTTTGATCTATGGAAAAAGACCCCCCACAAAAAGCCTGGAAAATTAGTTGAATAGTCTGCATTGACACTAGTGGTCCAGTATATTATCTTACTTTGTTGTTTGACACTGATAAACCAAAACCAAATGCACCTTTTTATGAATGCCTGCTGGTGTGTGTTTGCCAGGATGATAACACTGTATATCCCAAAACACTGACGAGAATGAACCAAACATCTGTGTGGCTCTTATTTCTTGCTGTATGAAACTAGTAATTATCCAGTTATAGAACACTTACTTTTCATTAGCCTTTATTTACACATCGGTATTGCTTAAGAAAACAATTGCCACTGCTCTGTGGCCAATCCTTTTCTCCTAATGCTGAATGACTCTGACTTATTGTTGAGTCATTTTAATCCTGACATTATGCTATCCAGGTGCTATCAACACTTAAATAATGCAACAGTGCTCTAAGTGCTCTTAAAGAGCCTCTATTCACTCTAAACTACACTAAGTACATGTCTTGAATCAGCACTGTGAGGGTACACGTGGGCACGTTGCATTTGGGGTTTTGAAAAGGTATTGCAAAATCAAATGCACCAGAAACTTAGCAATTGCAAGTTATAGTTTTCAATTTCTTAACCAAAACTTGATGGTTTGCAGTAGGAAGTCAAGAGAGGAAGAGGCAGAACCAGCCTCCAACAGCTGTTTTCTTCTTCTTCTTCTTCTTAGTGTGAGGGGAGTGTCAGACTGCGTTTTCCGACAGTCCCTCCCTCCTGTAAAGCTGCCCAGGTGTAATGGCCGATCCGCCGATCTGAACCACATCAAACCTTACAAACAGGAAGCTTCCCTTCACTGTTATTACTGAGATAAATATCTGGCATCCACCACATGCCGCATTGTCATCATGCCAACCATAATCTGTGTTTACACCTGCAATATTGCCCAAGGAAATAAGGACTTTTGCTATTGCTGGGAGGCAGGAAAAGGAGACAACTAAAACCTAAAGCCACAAAGGAATAAAATACAATCTTCAGTATCCTCCTCATCTCCATGACCTGTCTCTGAACCAGCAGCACCAGCAGCCCCTTTTAAAAAGAGCCTCTGCAAATAAAACAAGCTGCTTCTAGCTAACTACTAACCTTGTTTGTCTCACACAGTTAAATGTCTGTCACTCTCTTTCACTTGCCTCTTCCTCACTGTGAAATATTCATCCCAGGCGGTACAGACAGTTTCCTCCAACATTAGCCATCAAACATGAAAGCCCAGCGCTGACTGGAAAATAACACAGTGAAGTCCCAGTTTTAATTATGCTGGTTTAGTTTATGACCTGTCTGCTCATATCCATTATCCACAACTGCAGAATGGTGAGCAGCCTTTCAACTTCAGTTTCCAGCTTGCTCATCACTTCCCGGACCAGGTGGGAATGAGTAAAAAGTTCACTTTTTCCTTTTCTCTTCTTTTTTTCAAAGTGTGTGCCACACAATTGCTTACAGTTTCTCAGAGTCTACTAGGGACATGATTCAGTTGCCTATGAATTTAGTTTAATTATCACCTCCAGACTACAGACAAATTAATCTCAATTTAATATTAATCTAGAACAACAGGTTTTATGAAACTAATTTCACAGACACATTTTCACAGAAGACAATGTACTCTGATGAGGGTTTAAAGATAACCTTGTAGGATTTGGAATCTTTGGATTCAGGGAGTGTTCACACATTATCCACTTCCAGTAGTTTTGTATAAGGAACTGATAGATGGCATTGATGGCATGTTTAACAGCAACTATTATGTTACATTCTGTCAGATACAGGTATTATTAAAGACCACAAATCACTGAGACAAAGATAAACAAGTTATTGCTTTCCTTCCTTGGATAACATTAGATCGTGTTTTGTGATCATTTTTTTGACCTCATTGTATGTCATAGTTATTTTGGATCAACTTACCAAAATAACTTTGCATGTGGTTACAAGTGGAATGGACTTCTGATTTTCTTACAATAATAATAATAATCATAATAATAATCATAATAATAATGGACTACGATTAATTTTGATATCCAAAGTGATTTAAAGTGAAGGGGGAAAACTCACCTTAACCCAACTTTAGTAAATGTTACAGCATCAGACAGAAATAAGATTCTATTTATGTAGAAAATAAATAAAAATAAACTGTTCATGGTAATGATTCTTGAGGTAAGCCCATCTCCCAGAAATTATATGCATATATATTTTTGCACCGACCCCTGGATAATGTTTACAGACAATGCTTTTTTGAGTGAAATGCACAGTAGACAAAGGAAGGTGTTTGGCGTGTATGGGGGGGGCGTATAAATTGAGTGTACTTCCTTCTGTGTGTGGAGAGGTTTAGACCAGTGTTTCTTAAACTTTTTCACATCAAGGACCCTTAAACTGACACAAATTAGATTACAGACCCCAAGACTTCGTCCCGGGGTCCCCAATCTGATTGCATTTGTGTTTTATTACAGAAAGTTTAGGAAACATAAACTATTCCCTTTTTTGCTCGCCCCCACTTTATGAACCACTGGTTTAGACAACAAAAGCAAAAGTTTGATAAAGATCGTGGTTTTGGGTAATGTTAATAAAGCAAATGTGCTAGTTATTTAATTTAATAATGATAATGCTGGTTTTAGAATGTAAATGTACTGCATGTTGAAGCTCAGAGGGTTGGAGATACTCAAAAGAGGTCTGCATCAAACTGCCCAATACAAAAAAGGGATGAGATTGTTATAGCCTATTCACATGCAGAACTATAACATAAATTATTGCTGGCTAATAGTTAACAGATCTATGTTTTTGGGTTTGATGTTACAAATGTTTTAGATGCAAAAAAGTCCAATCACATCACACTCATCGCATTAGGCTTTTTTTTACAGAGGACTCTTCGACATTAACAGAGTAGTAAAAACACAGGTGTAAATAATTAAATGGGCGATGGCTGAATTCCATTTAGCTTCTTCAGCTTCCTGATCCTGCATTGTGCATGCTGGCTCACTGTAACTGTTATGGCTCAATGAGACACTTCAACAGAACAGAGCCATGTTATTAGTAACACCTGTGCTTTGCCTACTATGACAAGTCAACATATTTGTTGTGAAAAAGGTGTATGTGGGCGCATCCTCCAGCGACACGTTTGTCTGCTGAAGATCATATCACAGCAGACAAACATGACTATAATATAAATGCATATCTGATTAGATTTCATAGTGCCTTATGTCCTTTTAGTTATCTTGAAAACACACTCACATCTCCAGAGATATAGGACTAGAACTAGAGTGCCTTTGCTGAAATGGAAATGCTTGGGATTTCTGAAGCTGGTGTTTTTGTGAGAACAGAGATGATCCATGACTGCTAACACCGAGCATCTGAGCGGTTAGCTCACTCAGACGTCAGCTTATCATCAGCTGTTAAGAGCAGTGTGAATTCTTTGGGCCTCAGGCTTCGGCCCTGAGTGTTTCTGAGCAGATAGGAAGAGAGAGGGAGCACAGGTGCAGATGTGGGCCTTACATCCTGAAGCACATGATGATTAGACTGAGAGGGCCCATGTTAGTACTCGTGTGGGAAGAATCTCATCCATCAGTGGAAGATGCAGCAGGAGGAACCAGAGGAATGAAGCCAAGCGTGGTTGAAAAGCAGAAACAGAGTGATAAAGTAAAGGACCATCTGCTTTTTCATAATTATTTAGAGCACATAGACTTAGATGAGCAGGAAAAGGAGCATTTCAATTCTGGAAGTAGGAGTTTAAATAATAGTTTGACAAAAAAATCTTAACTCAAGGTCCACTTAATAGCTTTTTAGGTCTTCATCAATTGATTGAGTTTGCTCAGTTGTCATCATGTGTCATCACCTAAGTGTGGAACTTTGGTCATGTGATAATGATGATGGAAACTGTAAGAGTTTGGGAAAAGCCAATAAGTGGACCTTGAGAAAATATAATTTTGCCCACAGACCTTAGTTACCTAACAATCTTTTAAAAAATGTTAAAAGCAATCAAAAGTTTAAGAATCATATACTGTATGTCTTGACACTGACTTTTTCAGTCAGCAGAGAGGCTCAGTTTTGGATGCAGCTTCCAGTGTGTATTTATAAACCACTGGATGTCAGACTGTCAGTGTGATTTACAATTTTGGGAACGAGGACATTTTACAATTTTAGATTTAATGGTTATGACTCCTCTATTTTTAATTATCTTAATTCAGGACAGGAAGTTGTAACACAGCACTCCCAGTGGTTGTCCGCAGTTTTTTGCTCTGCAGTTCATGGTGGGGGTTTTCCCTTTACTAACACCTGAGCTGGCTGAGCAGTGAAGCAGCTGCAGTGGAGCGTCTGTCCACTTCGGTCTTACCGAGTTCCTGAAGAACAGCACAGGGGCAGAGAGACAAGTCTCACACCGGACAATCGAGGGGAATGTCCCAAAAGAGGTTGCTTGATGTCAAATCTGTTTTAAAGAAGCAAGTGGTAAACAGTGGGTGGCTTGGAAATGTGAAAAAATTTTTATTTTTTATACTGTACATGAGACAGAAGAGTTTTCTTAATATAACACTGACATACATGCAGATACGATGCAGATTTGTACATTGAAAGAGTTATTGATGACCGTAATTGTTCCTCCTGTGAAGTGATTCTATCCCTTCCTAGTACTAGACTCTAATGTAAGAGATGTGGGTCCTTTTTCTTTCCAAAAAATGCATTACACGATGATGCATTATACTAAAGCTAACATGAATCTTTAAAGTTAAAGCTAAATCAAGTGGGTATCTTCCAGGGTTACAGTTTTTTAGTATGAAATTGCCTCTTTGTGTTACTGTCCCTCCACTGCAACTCAGCTAGAAAATATTAGCTTCAGCTGATCTTCAGAGCATATTTTGACCGCCATCTCCAACAGTATTAGGAAAGGATCATTGTATAGCCAGTATGGAGAGGATACAGTGACCAATATCTCCAATATGAATATATCAGCAATATATGTTAAGATAGACTTGAAAATAACTGAACCTGTCTTTTAATGTTGCACAAGAAAGTCCACTGCAGAAAGTATACACAATAAACATGAGCTGAATGACTTCATGGTTGTTCAAGTTCTCTTTTTTTGTTACCCGATCAGCGGGAAATGTGTTGAAAGAACACATGTTGCAGTAAGTTGGAACTGATATGTTAGATATATAAAGGAGCTGTCACGATTCTGTCTTCATGACCACGATGCAGGTCTACAGTAAATTCAACAAACTATGCAGTCGTAGCATTGAATACTGCTGTCTTTTTTCAGTCTTAAATGGATGAAGGCTTACGATATAATCAGTAGATGAGTGTATGCCGTAAACTCTGTGTGACTGTGAAAGGTCTGTGAAATAATTAACATCTGAGCTAGCACGAGGAATGACAATGATCATTTGTGGCAGACAGACTTTAGAAACCAACCTCTCTTCTGACTGACGTCAGCATTGTTGCTGTTGTTCTCATTTGTCTCTTTAAGGGATTCAATTGAGGTCTTAGTGGAGACAACACCTTCATCATCAGTTTTCTCCTCCACACTTGGCTTCACAGGTGCGGGAGGACTCTGCTCAGCAGCGTCCTCTTTGGGTTTGTCCTCAGGGCTGTCTGGGGATGGTGCCGGAGCTGCAGACTCAGCGCTGGGATCAACAACAGATTTATCAGCTTCAGCTGTGAAGGACGAGAAAAGCAAACCACAGTGATTTTCAAGGACATTAGTACTGTTTTTCTAAACTGAATCTAGTTATAGCATGACACATGAAAGTGAAAATAATATGTGGATTAACAACACACTGAATCCAGTCATTGGAATACAGTGGAAAAACCCAACATTTATGTCATGCAATGTTAAAAGGAAGTTAATTTCTTGCAATACATTCATTGTGTAATATTGTTGAGACATTTCTCCATCATTTAAATTTCTGACATTGCGGATTTGATATTTGGTTGACTGCGTTCTCTATTTAGCTCTCACGTAACAACAGCATATTCACTCATAGCCTGAAGTGGTTTTGCCCTCTCTGACAGTCAGAGGGGATTTCTCTCAGGCGAAGGCATTTAAGGGGGCCACCATGTTGGTAATGAGGCGGCTGATTACTGACCAGTCTCTAATGAGCCACAGCCATGCAGCTGTTGGAGGCTGTGGGAAAGTAGGGTGGTCCCATCATTATCTGACCCAGTGTTAGGTGGAGGGAAAGCGGAGATAAAGGGGGGAGGATGGTGACCGTTGTTGTAGACATAATTCTGAGTAAGATGGCTCCTGAGACATCATCACAATCTTCAGACTCTTGACCTGATTGTCAACTTAGTATTCTCCTTTAGTATAGTCTTAGAGACTGGAAATGTGATTTGTAATTTCTCTTACATGATATGGATTTTTCAATGTCTGATGCTTAAATGTAGACAGCAGCCACACTGACAGGACTGTCGACAGATGTGTCTGCAGATATTTTTAGTTTATCAGTCTTGTGAGTGCAGGCATCTACTGATGCCGATTATCTCAAAATGCCAGATATCAACCCAGTTAATCGGTCTATCACTAGTTAAAATGCAATATTTAAAGCATTTTGGGAAATATCTTAATAAGCTTTCCTTTACCTTCTTCTCCTTGATCGACATCTCCCTGATTCTCCTGTTAGCTTTGTTGCGCCTGATAGTGTAGGACTGATTACACCTTTATTTTTCTTATTGGTACATTGGTACAAATAAGTCAACTCAAAGGAGTGTTTTACCAAAGGGCTCACAAGGACAACATTTTTGCCCAACATATTTTACAATTGTGGAATTTGCTCCTGGATGGTTTCTTTAGTGAGTCAAGTGCACCAGGCATGCAATCACCATTAGCCAAATCAGATTGTTCTTCTTGCCATTAACTTGAATCAAAACAGCAGTAACAAACTCCAGGTGCATGATTAGAAATCTAGCTGCCCACCTACCCACCAATTTCATTACATCTTTCCCATGAGAGGAAGAGAACCATTTGAAAGGTAGCTGCTTTTCAAACCGGCCATCAGCACTGGCCATTTAAACAAAGTGTGGCCCAGGGCAGAGAGACAGGCCCAGACATGAACTGCACCTTTTACCTTTCTAATTCAGCCTGGGAAGATGTCTTTGAGTAAAAAAAGAGAACTCATTCTCAGACAAATGGAAATTTCAAAACAAGAAGACAAGAATAAGTGCTAATGCTTTTTTTTTTAGCTTGCATATACTGCACTAAATGGCATAAATATCAAGTTAAAATATTGAATAAAATATATACATGTTTTGACTTATTTTCTGACTTGCTGCATACAGAGACAAAGTCTTCAGTATGTTTTCATCATCAAACCAAATAACACCTATTTTGTTTATCAAAATGGCAACATGCTTAATTGCACTGTAGGAGATTTGAGGTGTCAGCTGCAGTTATGGCAAACTGAATAAGCTTGTAATTTGTTATCTAGGCTTCCATTTCCATCAGGTGGCAGGCATGAGTACTGCGGTCCATATTTCCGGCCTGTCTCCTCTCAAAGTAAGCAAGCATTGCATGTCAATTGTGCATACACTTTCTGTCACAGTCATTTCAAAAGTTTCTGTGGAAGTCCAGTGATCTGAATTCATTTGCATAAGTTGGATTTCAAGCCCTGTGTGAGACATTCTGCTGTGCAAAATTTACTTCCTATAAAATTCTGCAATCAATTCAAACACGTTTTAAATGTAGTGAACTATGAAATTTCATCAGAAAGGAACCTGATATTTATTTATTTATAAATCTTTTTTTTTTTTTAGTAGTGCAAAACACATTTTCTGTTCAGGTTAAAATCTTGTATTTGCCTGCAGGACTCCGGACCTTCACACTTCACTGTGAGGAAGGGTATCTTGCTGTTAATGCATGTGTAGAGAGCTGGGCTGAGCTTTACTTCCTTTTATTCAGTTTAACTGATCTTACAGAAGAGGAAGGAAAACAGTACACAATCAGCCACAAAACACCTTTAAGTTCACAACTTACCAACTAAAAAAAATCTCTTTTCCTCTTTCTCTGAGCTCTGTTGATACATCAACACAATAAATAATACTGATCAGTCACATGTTTGTACTTACGTTTCTGCTCCTCTTGTACTTCAGGTTTTGCCTCTGGTTCTTGCGGCTCATTTTTAGTCGTTTCTGTATCTACAAAGGTTTGCAGACCTGAAAAATGTACATGGATTAGGATTTCTAATAGAACAGGACAATGGATTGAAAGGTGATGTTTTATTGTTGTTAATGTGATTGTTGTTAATCTTCTCTGTAACGTTGTTAATGTAAGTGGACTCAGATGGACTGACCGTTCTGAGGCCCAGTATTAACAGGCATCTCAGGGTCCATAGTGCTGAGAGGGATGTGTGCTTCATCCGGTCTGGAAGTCAAGTCAACAGAGTAGCGCTGCTGGAAGAGGGGATTCAGAACATACAGAGAAACACATATCACTTAATACCACAACATTAATGGAATGAGACCACTTTCATGTCTGTGCGCTAAATATGAAGCTATTGCCAGCAGACGTTAGCTTAGCTTAGCACAAAGACTTGTTGAAATGTCATGTCAGTCATCGATGTCATTGTTATCCAAGTAATGTTAAAATCAAGGGCAACTGAAAAACAACTTGGATGTTGAACTTGAAGAAGCCCTTTGGATAAGAGGCGAAACGTCTTCAAGTATCTTCAACCAGTCCAGCTACCCTTGATTTTAACCTTCCTCGGATAACAATGTTGTAGTTTTTTGGGTTATGGCACAGGTGGTATTGTGCAGTAACCCAATAAATAGTAATACAATGTGTACTTCAGGTTTTGTATGTATTAATAAAACAAGTATGTAACAAAATATATTGTGTTAACTAGTCTGACTTAGGCAAGCTTTTTTTCCCCTGTTACCAGGCTTTAAGTTAAGCTATGCTAACCAGCTGCTGGATATAGTAGACGTGAGACTGAAATCAGTCTTTTCAGCTAACTCTCGTAAAGAAAGCGAATAAGCATATTGTCAGAAGGTCGAATTATTCCTTATTTGGTAGTGGAAGCAAAGGGCTACTCTTCTTACCCTGTCTCTCTTCCGTGCAAAGTAGCATGCAACACCAAATCCCAAAGCTATGAGGAGGATCACAACAAGGATGATAATGCCTGAAGGAGGTAATACAGTTCATGTTTAAAAATAGGAAGAGCTCATATTGTAGCTTTACAATATGGTCCCAGACAAAGCCATACATCTCCTGTTTATTCCCACTGTTACAGTATACTTACAACCTTAAGAAATTGTGGTTTGGTTTAATTTGATATCATGTGCTGGAGCACATTGAATTGTAACTCACCAGCCTTGTCACCTGCAGCTGCCTTTGGCATTGTAGTGGTCGCTGTTTTGAAGAATTACAAAAAAAGGATATATTTTAAAAGCAAAAAAGTTGAATCAAACAATGCCATTGAAAATGAAGTAAGGATGCCAGTATAATTTCAATTACATATTCAACTGTGTTAAAGCTGTTTTAACTGATTTTTTGGCCTCTTGGGGGCAGCAAAATCATGGTTTGGTATAATTTGATGTCGTGCTGGAGCACACTGAATTGTGACTCACCAGCTCTGTTGCTTGTCCTCTCTTGTGGTTTTGTAGATGGGTCTGTTTCGAAGAATTACAAAAAAGATTATATTTTAAAAGCGAAAAAGTTGAATCAAATAATGGCATTAAATATAATGTAAGGATGCCAGTATAAACCTGCTAATGAGTTGTCAAATGTCAACCTGTAGTCATAATACAGGAAAGCTGCTTCCAAGCTTCAGTCTAGTATCAATTACATATTCAACCACTTTAAAGCTGTATTAAGTAGCAAAACAAGCTGAAAACATGAAAGTGAGACAATCGCATTATCACGTCACTATAATAAACAATTACCTATTAACACTTTCACCAGTTTAAGCTCAACGTCCAAATTCATATGGAGTAGTGTTTTTATCTACTTGATGAAGTCCATTATACACTTGCCTTGGTTTCTGCCAACTCTTGTGCAAAATAATTGCCTCTTTAGCTGCAAAATCTCAACTATGTTCACCTGCTGGCCGCTAACTATGTCTGTCAGTCCTTTAGAACTCTTTAGTGTACAGTGGGTTTATCAGAGCTTTTTTACTGTAAACCACTGCCTGCTGAAACAAGTTTCTCAGAGCCAAAACAGTTAAGGTGTAAAGAGTAGGAGTGGGTTTGTCACCATGAGTGACACCTTTCATAGTACGTAGTCCTTTGATTCATCACTTTGATTAATGCAGCTTTAAGGTACTATCATTAATATTCACCAATATCATTAAGTTGTTTCATTTGTACCAGGCTATGTAGCTATATGTATTAGGAATATACTGCAGGTTGGAGTATTTGAATAGTATCACAGTGTTTAGTAATGTAAAACTGTCAAAACCTCAAGCCAACCAGGCGACACCAAACTGTAGAATACTGTTAATTCATCGGCAGTCTCAACTCACAGGGTTTAGGCGTGGTCTTGGACATTGTGGACCTTGTACTTTGAGTGGCTTTGTCATCTTGAGAACCTATATCATCAGATTTGGAGAAGCATGTTATTCTATTAGCAAACAGTGATGCAGAACAATCATAAAAACAAAGATGACATGTTGATGAAAGGACCGGCTATAAGGGTCAGACTCTGACAGAATTGTTTTTGGGGAATCCAAAAGAGATAATAGCACTTACTATTCTGCTTTGTTATTGGGGGTGTGACGGTGCTGTTGGTTTTGGTGATATTCATGGTACTGGCGGTACTGGAGATACTGGTCATAGTGAAGGTGTTGGTTTGGTAGTTAGTGGTGGACGGTGTCAAAGTGGTGGTAATGGTAGAATTGCCATTACTGTCATTAACAACATTACTGTTGTTCACTTTCTCTGAAACCTCTGGTAATGTGTGATTTGCTGCGACAGAAGCCACAACCAAACCTGCAAGAAGGAATACAGCCTTTTCAAAATGATCCACTCCGTGAACACAAAAATGACCAAAGTATATATAGTATATATTAACTCTGACTTCAGGATTTTATTTATTAGCAATGATATTTTATCAAATAAAACATTAATATTGAATTTTAAATTCATTTTTACCATCTACAATTAATTACCTCAACCCAGACAGAACATTTGAGGTGCAGAATTTTGAGAAAAAAAACACAGTGTAATCAGGTACATGTCTAATGTCTAATACAATAATGAAGAGCCTCACCCAGGACAAAGAAGAAAGGTCTGATCGAATGCATTGTACGTTGGATGGCAGCAGCAGGTTGGAAAAGCTAGTCTAATGTACTGTATATACAGAATGTAATATCAAAGATCTCTGCTCAGAGGTGATTCTGTCCTTCGGTGCTTTCTCTTCCTAAATGCCTCTGAGCATTGCATGCCTCTAAACAAAAAAGAAGAGCAACGCCTCTGACCACAGCAGGATGCATCAGAGAACAATGTTGCTCAAATGGTGTAAGTAAGAGGAAACATTCTGTTGGTACATTGCTTCAGACTCTCCTCTCACTGCAGAACAATGAGGTAGAATTTGTGCACTGTTACTGACAAAACTTTTGGGTTCACTATAAAACTAAAGTGATTTCATTTAGTGACAAATATGACATGTTTGTGTTAACTGTAACACCCGTGAAATCAAATATTTTATCTAATATTTTCTTGTTTAAGGGATTCATTTATCAAGTTAGTTCCTCTTAGCAACAGATTGTAAAGGGGTACTCATCAGTTGAATGTTTTTCTCTTGAGAAATGAATTGTGTCAAAAAAAAACGTTTCTTGTTGTTAGTACTATTTTCTGCTCACTAGATGTCGCTGTGACTAAGGGGAAAGGCGCCAGATTGAGATGGACGAGACAGTTGCTCTTTTTTCTTGCTGAATGTAGGACTAACTTTAACTTTACCCAAATGTATTTCCTGTTTGATAAGAAATTAGGTACTAAGCTTCACAAAATACAGGAAGCCTTTTTGTAATATGTTGTATTCTTTTAATATTCAGTTTTCTAAAATTATGAAGATCAGATAATGTTGAGGCAAAAGAGGAAATTATGGTGTGCTTTGTGTTTTGATGGCTCAGGAAGATATAGTATTATTAAGATATATAGTCATTTTTCAAGCAGAAATGCCACACTTTCAGTAGTTGCAACCTCTCAAGCAGTTTCTCAACAACTGATAGTTTGGACTGTTGGTCAGTTAAAACAAGATATTCGAAATCAAGTATTTGTCTCTATTTTCAGGTATTGATAGACTATAATAATTAAATGGTTAATCATCAGATTAATCCATATGAAAATAATAATTCGTAAATAATAAGTGTTTCAGCATTACTTGTCTTGTGTGGGTGGAGTCGTTATAAGGGTGTATGTGTGCTCAGCCTTGTAGCTTCATTTATAACTGTTTATTTCCCCATGCCAGTGGTAATCAGCAGCAGGATTAGTGTTAACTGCCACCCAGTCACTGGCAGGCTCCACGTGGACCACTGCAGGCCCCTCCTGCCGAATGGCCTGCCCGGGTCTGTTCGGGACCAGCTTGCAGTGGCAAGGAACTAGGAGTTTGCTAATCCTGAATAAAGACCCCCGCCTGGCTTCCTCTCTGTGCCACCTATCACCACATCACAGAGCCCAGGCACCAGCACCAGGCCTGGCCCAGTGGATGAGCTAATCACTGAGAGGAGAGGAGAGGGTGTGTTTCTGTGTGTATGTGTGTGAGAGAGACACAGAGAGGAGAGAGAGCTGGACCACCCACCCGGAGGATTCAGAGGCACAGGATTCACAGCCCATTCTGTTGACCTGCCACACCGCCCCAGCTCTGGGCACGGCCCTCCCCAATTGTTCCGCCTGCTAACATGAGGAGGGGGGTTAGCTAAGGGGGGATGGGAGGTGGACGAGCAGTAAACAGCAGGCTGAGCTTCTCTCCTTCAGTGCACAAAGGGGCTGAATTGTGTCGGGAAGGAGCACTTTTTAGAGTGGCCCTGCCATGGGGCCTGAATGAAACATCTGTGGAGGCTGAGCCCGAGGGAGAAAATGCTATTTTGCTGTTCAACCACACTGACAACCTGTTTTCTCTTTCTTTACCTCCCCCCCCCCCCACACCCAACACACCACCACCACCAGCCCTCACTGTTATTTCTCTCTTGGCCTTGTAAAACTATTCATACTGTATACTCACATTTGCCAAGCAAGTAACAGAGAAGCAACAGTAAATGAAAGAGAGAGAGAGAGAGAGAGAGAGAGAGAGAGAGAGAGACTGACAGATGACTTGAAAGTTTGAATTTGAGTCCCAATGAGCTATACACAAAAATGTTTAAATGGAGTAGCAGTAAGCAAGTGTCACCAAAGTATTTCCTGAGGTCTTATGACATGGCAACAATGCGACAATAATGTCAGACAGGGCAAGAAATATGCAGTCAGAAAGTCAGGCAGGTTGTCATCAGTCAAGAATTTAGCCAGCTTATCTAAAGCACATTACTTGGGGATAAAATCAAAAGTGTGCACACCCGATGTGTTAATGTAATATTCCTTATTGCACAGGAAAATCGTGTGTATGGCCGGTATGTGAGGTGGACATTAAACTAGGAAGTCGGTCTGTAAAGATAATGGATTTTTACAATGAACAATTTGGATCATATTCTCACAGTTTGTCAATTCCATCCACCCATCGTCAACCGCTTATCCTGCATACAGGGTCGCGGGGGGCTGAAGCCAATCCCAGCTGACATCGGGTGCAAGGCAGGGTACACCCTGGACAGGTCACTAATCCATTGCAGGGCCACACATAGACAAACAACCACTCACACTCACACTTAAGGACAATTTAGGGTCGTTTGTCAATTCCACTGTAATCTATTTCAAATAAGTTTGGCTAACCGGAGCATTTGCTTAAAAACTGTATGATGCTTGTGTTTCTTGTCCTGTTAAAATTTCAATGTGGCGACATAGCCACATATGCAGATCTCTGCAATTAACTTGGTGAGTGCAACGTTAGTATTTACCAATAGCAATTCAGCCAGAGACACATACGTCAAGCAAACGGTTATACAGTCAGATTTGGTGGAAAAGGCTCTGCTCACTGAGGGACCTCTTAAAGAATCCAAACAACCACAAAGATAACTAATCCCCCTTAACAAAGACATGAATAGTTAAATCAACAATACGAATACCACATAAAGGAGGAGGTTGTGGTGGTGGGGGGAGCTATTGCAGGAAATGGTGTTGGCATGAACAAATCAGCAGAGAAACAGTGTTAAGGGGCCGTGTACAATATTCACACCTGTTAAGTGGTTGATAATAATAATAATAATAATAATAAATGTATTTCTAGAGCGCTTTCAATCAAAGTACTTTACAAAAACAATTCAATTAAAACTGAAGCCTTAATTGAATATGCCAGCCTAATATCTGCTGGAAAACTGTTCCATAATGTTGGAGCACGAAACGAAAAGGCTCGCTCACCAACCGTTTTTTTCCTAACCTTTGGTACAGTCAGAAGTCCTGTCCCGTGGGAGCACAGCAACCATGTAGGCACATAAGAGTTTAAAAGAACAGACAGATATAATGGTGCAAGGCCATTTGCTATTTTGTACGTTAACAACAAAACCTTAAAATCTGCTCTAACCTGAACTGGGAGCCAGTGCCAGATACTAGCTAATGCTTACTTCATTGATGGCCAAAACTATGAAAATAACACTGGAACTAGCCTTTAATTCCTCAAGTCCTTTAATTAGATGAATACAGTAATGTATGGAGGCTATCATCAGCCTCCACAGAGAGTGTTACGAGTCTGTCCATGCATCAGCATCACCTCTACAATCCCCCTCCCAGAAAGAACCCCCACACTCTCAGCCCTCTTTCCTCCCAGTTCTGTACCGCCACCGCGCAGCTCAAAGAGAGAGACCACTGAGACATTTCAGTTTAATTGAAGGGGAAACAAAGATCCCTGCTTACTTCCTGGTCACCCATTTTCTTTAATCAATTTCCTCCCTTTGGTACTATATCATCTGTAATTACTTTCCCTTTCCCGCCCCTCGTGGGTTCCTCCTGGAGCAACGGTCCATATACACACACACACACACACACACACACACACACTTATTGCTAACCCCCTACCACAAGCAGGCAATACCTTCGGCATCAATACTCGTTGCCCCCCTTTGGCTCCCCTAGCCTGAACAATGGAGAAGGCCCACTGGCTCCAGAACCCCACCAGGCAACCCTTGACCCTGCCCACCTACTCTCCTAAACCCTCCCACACACACACACACACACACACACACACACAGGGGTTCATGTACTCTTATATTCAAGTCGTAGACATTGTCGCACATGCACGCATGAGTCTGTAGTGAATGGGGGGAAGTAGAAGAGGACGGGAGGCCAGGGGAGCTGCGGGGCACTTTAAATACCAGCTCAGCTTGTAATCACTGGAGTTTGAACTCAGAGGGCTTCTTATGCTAAGAGGTCAAGAAGCCAGAACACTCATTCGCTCCTTTCTTTCTTCCCTGCTGCCCTCTGCCACTCACTTCTCTCAACGGGTCTCTCTGATCCGTAAGCCGGTTATGTACAGTGAAACCAAGCTGATATCCTGAAGAAATCTTCCAGCAAAACATTGAGTGCATTGTCTTGCCAGCATATTCAACGAGAGTACATATGTAAGTAAGACCAATTGTGGCACAAACTTGACTTCCTCCTGCACTCAAGTAACTCAATGAGAATCTTCTGCCGATTGGTAATTTTCTGGAAGAACTGAGCTTTATTTGCAAATAATTACCAAGGAAATTCATTACATTTGTCCTACCTGCCAAAGGGAATATAAAGACAATTCCTGTAAATAAAAAATGCCCTCCAAATTATACACCTGGATCTCCATTGGACTTCACATTTCCCAGATATGACCACCCAGAGAATGCAACCCATACCACCCACCACTACTGAGAGGATTTATCACTCAGCTGATGCCAGTGTGCTTGATGAATGAAAGCGACTTACAGTATTGGCATTGTTACCTTGTTTGATGGGGAAGAGAAACATCAGAAACTCCTTCCCATGGCTAATACTTATATAAATAGGTATTAGCCGTGGTAATAGGAGAGGAAAGGTGTTGCCTGCAGGCAACAATGGCAATGTAAATTCCAAGGAAAGTGCTGGTGCAATATTAAAAGTGAAAAACATAAGAGCTGCGGAGAAATGTTTGTGTGTGCTAAGGACAGGTCTAAAATTGGCTTCCAGATAGTCAGCAGTTCAGTGGGAATTATTGGTGTCATACAGAGGATACAGAGCTTGCTCTAAATAATGATTATTTTTACTACTACTTAATCTTTTGACCATTTCCTTGATAAATATGGTAATTGTTGAGTCTAAAAAGAATATTGTGGGCACCATTACACAGAGC